ATCATGCAGCTATTAAGTGGCAGAGCTGGGATTCAGACGCAAGCTTATTTGACCCCAAAGTCTATCGTCATTTTATCAAGCCATGGTCCTCAGTTGATGCAAGCCCCGTGCTGAGTGCTGGGGATACAGAGATGCAGAAGACAGGGCCCTGTCCGCAAGGAGCTCACATTCTAATGGAGGAGGGAGGGACGTGAGCCCAGACATCATTTGAGATGGGAAGGGCTCTGCTAGGATCAGCTCAGAGGCCATGGAGCACAAAGGAAGACATGTATTAAAATGTGCTCTCTTCAAAGGAGGGGGTCATGTGTGTTCTGTTTATTGCTGTATCCGGTACCCGGCAGAGGGCCTGGCACACTTTAATCCTCAATAAATGTTTGATGAATGAATGAACAAGGAAGAGACCAAGTGCCTAGGACAGAGGCAAGGTTAATCAAGGAAGGCTTTCAATGATTTCGTATTTGGGTGAGACTTGAAGGATGAGGTAGGAGTGTGCCAGGTGGAAAAGAGGGGGAAAGGCATTCCAGGCACATGCAAAGGAATAACAGGGTGGAGAAACGGTCTCTCAACTTTTTAAAAAATTACGACACATAATATACACACATACACAATATACACACAATATATACACACAATTAGAACCTTATTATGTACTATGCCCTCTGTTATTTTCTGGTCTATTTCCACTTTGTAAATGTTAGTGATAACTTTCTAATTTGTTGTGATATGGGCACAGGGGATTTGGGAAAAGTGGAGGCTGGAAGGATAATTTGGAGCCAGACTGTAAAGATCTTCAGATGCTGGGGTGATGAGTTTGGACACTTTTCAGTCCTTGCCTCCCCTGCAAGGTCTGACCTTGCAAACTCTCTGCTCCTTCTCTAGCTCTTTGAGTAACTTCCTGCCTGCGCCAGCTAGTCTTCTTCAGTTGCCTCTAGCTATTCCTTTTCCCGAGCTGGTTCTTTAAAAGGTTCTATGTTCCTGGGGCTCTGTGCTGAGCTCTCCCTACTCGTCCTTCTCAGCCTCTTGTGGCATCCCAGCCTTGGTTTGAATGACTGCCCACCTCTAGCTGTGGAGACCCCAGTCACCCTCAAAAGCCCACACCCTCCCTCCTGAATGCCCGGCACACACATTCAGCTGCCCCTTCAGTGACCTACAGACATCAAACTTGGCACCTCCAAAACCAAGTTCATCCCCCTCAGACCCGCTCCTCCTGTCCCACCTCCATGTTGTCCTCCAGCCACACCATCTCACAAGACAGAACCCTGTCCTCTGGGGCCTCTGCATCCTGTCCATTCTGCCTTCAAATCAGCTCTCACATCCATTCACTTCTCTCCTTGCCGTCTGCCACCATCCTTGTCTGGGCTGGCCCTGGACTGGGCCTTTTCTCCCCTGGATGACTGTTGATACCTCCTGCTGTCAGCTCCTGCCCCCTTCTATTGGTTCCCCATAGCAGCCACCGTGAACCTTTGGAAACATAAATGGAATTGTGTGACACGACTGCTCCCATTTATGATAAAACCTGAACTTATTAATATGCCCTAAAAGTATCCCCAGATTCCCTCTTGGGTCTCCTCTCTGCAACTCTCCCCCACCTCCATTCCCTCCAATGCTCCATTCTCCAGGCCCCTCGGACTCCCATGGGCCCTGCTTCCTCTTGCTTCAAAAACTCTACCTGGTTAACCCCAACTTATTCCTTCTGGAGCCCAGTTTAGGAACACCTCCTTCAGGAAGGCTTCCCTGTTCCACTCAGTCTGGATTTGGAGCCCAGTGCCTGTGTTCCCACAGGCCTCTGCATCCACTATCTTGATGCCTAACAACTTCTTTTCTATTGCAGTGGCCCAAGTCTCTCTTTTCCATTAGATGGGTGGCATAATTGAGGGGATAAGAGCAGATGCTGAAGCCGAAACTCCATAGGTTCAAATCCTAGCTCTGCCATGTGCTGTGAGAGATTGGAACTTTATTTAGTCCCTCCATGACTCACTTTCCCCATACTATAAAATAAAGAGAGCTATGATAATAATAGTAATAATAACAACAACAACAACAAGAGCATCAATCTTATAGTGTTGTTAGGGAATGAAATGAGTTAATATGCTGAAGTTCTTAATGACAGTGTGTGGCACATAGTAAGCGCTACCCATGTGTTCCATAATGAGATCAGTCCTCAGACTATTTGTTCCAGGGGGCAGATACTGGATTAATTTGATGCACTGCTGTGTCTCCAGCACCTGTCCCAACATCCTGGTTATGAGTGTCTGCCAACATTTGTGACATGGATGGATCTTTGTTCTAAGAGAATGACAATGCAGATAGAAGAGAAAGGACACATCTGAGTGATGCTTTGGAGGTAGACTGCTCAGGTCTTGGCACTGACTGCATCTGTGGGAGACAGAAGGAGGAGGACGACGAATACAGAGGGAAGAACGTGGCTGAGACAGACCTTGTGACTTTCTCCCAAACCCTTGGCTGCTCCAGTCCCCCCATCCTCCCACCCCCCTGCCTTCATCTTTCATTGACACCTCCTTCCACGCAAGGACTCCAGCCAGCATGGGCTCATTGTTCCTTACTCTCTTCTCTCTTTCCCCCTCCCCCTCTCCACTGAGTCCTCCCAAGTCCTGTCAGTGCTGCTTGTGTCCCAGGTCCAGCATCCTCCCTCCTCTGTGCACCCCACTTCCACCCTACTGTTCTAGTTACAATTGCTGTGTAACAAGTGACCCCAAAACATAGCAGCATAAAACAGTTTCATCATACTCACAAATTATGGGGCTTGGGAATTTGGGCAGGGCACACTGGGGATGACTACAGAAGCCACTGTCTGCAGTGCCTCAGCTGGGAAGACTCAACAGCAGGGATGACTTGATGGCCGGGGGCTGGGATCGTCTGGAGGCTCCTTCACCCACATGTCTGCCACCTGGGCCGGGTATCTCCAATGGTGAACTCAACCGGGACTGTGGACTGGAACACCTACACGTGCCCCTACATGTGCCTGGGCTTCCTTACAGCATGGCAGCCTCCAGACCTCTTCCATAGTGGCTCAGGGCTCCAGCAGGAGTGTTCCAGCCAACAAGGCAGAAGCTGCATTGCCTCTCATGACCTAGCCTTGCAAGCCTTGCTGCATCACTTCTGCCATACCTTATTGGTCGAAGCCCTCACAAGCCCATCCAGATTCAAGCAGGGAAGCACAGACAGCCCACCTCTCAATGGGAGGCTTGGCGAATAATTTTGTGACCATGTTTTAAAACCACCACCTGAACTGAAACCAGCACTATCTAGTACCTGGACCCGTGGTGTAGTCTCCTTTCTGGTCTGCCTGGCTCCACTTTGTCCAGCCCTATCTATCCACCCCAGTGGATTCTCCACAGGGCAGCCAAGGGGAGCTTGAACACACAAGAGAGGAGTCACCGTTTCTTCATATCCCTCCAATGTCTTCCCACCAAACTTTCCACTGAAATCTAAGCTCCTTGACATGCCCACATAACTCTGTGGGATCTGCACACCCCATCTCCTCCCTCCCACATCACTGGCCCTCTTTCTCTTTCTTGAGCACAGCCCCAGGGCTCATGCCCACCTCTGAGCTTTTCACTGTGGTCCTCCTTCCTGAAGTGCTGGGCCTCCAGGTCCCGTGTCCTTCAGATCTCAGCTGGAATGCCACCTCCTCAGATCTAAAATAAACCCTCCAGCAACCAGTGTTGTCTCTGCCATCACTCTGTTTTATTATCTTCACTTGTCCCTGTGATGTCTGAAATTATGTGTTTGTTTCCTTCTGGTTTGTCTCCCTCACCAGCTCCAAGAGAGAAGGACCCTTGTCTTTCTTGTTCCTTGTCGTGTCCACAGTGTCCCCCATGGTGCCTGGCACAGACATTTGTGGAATGTGAATGAATTCATGACAGTGGCTTTCAGGGAACATGTGTACGATTTAGAAAAACAATTCTGAAGGATAGGCAGGCCTGGTGTGGGTCGGGGAGGTGGGGGGGGGCGGTGGCTTACTAGGGTCAGACACGTCTTGTTTCCAATCTGGCTCTGCCACTCACTAGCTAGTGACTTTGGGAAAACATCTTCTGGTCCCTGGGCCTCAATTTCTTCAGATGAAACCTGAGTCCAACAGCCCCTAGCTCACTGGACTGGGGTGTATACCACAGAAAGTGTTCAGCTCCTCTGGTCAGCTAGGAAGCTGTCCCCTGGAGTGAGGCCGAGCTGCACCACCGACCTCCCCCGCCAGGTGTCGCCGCGAGAGCGCGCTGAGCGGCCAGCTGCGCACGGCGCTCTCGGGCGGTTGGGGCGCCCCACGTCTTGCTTCCGTGCGAGGCATCCAGGCCTCAGCCCGACTCCGACTGTCCGCTAGGAGCGGGATTCCAGAGGAAGCTGACCCACCTGGGCACCCACCTGCCATCCACCCTCTAATAGACGGGGGTGGGAGAGGAATATACTGAGCCAGTTATCCGCGCTCCGCCAGTAGCCCAGCGGAAGGGGGCGCCCTCCCCGAAGTCGGCCTTGGAAGCCCAGGGGAAGGCGAAACCGGGGTGCGACCTAACAACCCCCAGCTCCGAATGCTCGGCCAGGCGCGGCGGAACGGGGAGGCTGACCAGTGCTCATGGCTTCTCGGCCGAGCCCTGAGCGCCCTCAACCCGAGGGCAGTCTCTGGGCGCCCACTCGCCCTGCAACTTTTGAGTTAGCGACGGGAAGGGGTCGAGCGGACTCCCACCACCCCCCACCCGGCTCCGCGCCCCGGAGCCGGGAGGGGGCGCCGAGGGAGCGCGAGGGGCAAGGCGCGGGCGCGCGCCTGGAGCAGGCGGCCCGGTC